ATATATATATATATATATATATATATATATAACTGATTACTTTAACTTATTAGTCTGGCATTTTTCTAAAGGTCTTTCTTTGATGAGTTTAACTGAACTTGGAAAAAAAGGTTAGTCTCAACTAAGATTGCTAGATTGGTTTGAACAGGTTTTGCTCAGGCTATGTTTGACTTTAAAATTAAAAGTAGAACATAAAAGACAGAACCAAAATAAATCTGTTGGGCGGCGGCTCTTGTAGTTTTTTCACCATACTGTTTCTGAATGTTTTCTTAATAATAAAGAGAGATAAGTATGAATTTGCTTTACATTTTTAATAGACGAACAGGAGGCTCTGCATTCTTCCATTTTTAGTTTGTGTACAAAGTAAGGCCCAACTGGTGATTTCATATTTAGAGTTCTGCTGAAAAAAGGATACCGTCTGTGGTTTAACATAGATTACATCTAGAGCAATCACGGTGATAAAAATAATAGGTTCAGTGATACAACATTATGTTTTTAAAGTTGTTAAATGATTATTAAAAAAAACATCAGTGAAGAAAAGGTCATAAGAAGATAATAACAAATCTAAAAACAAATGCATAGGCCTTTCATTTTTTTTCTTTTAACACTAAATTGGGTTACAGACATTAACTAATACAGATAACCTGTCTTTCCTCTTGATCCTAATAGACAAAAAAGCGTTGAGTCTAATACTGTGAATCATTTAGAATAATCAGTTATGTTAACTTACAGGTTTGTGGATTTTAATAGTCATGACATATACTAAGTTTGCCTGTTTGTCTATTTATTTAATGTCAGTATTATATCAGCAGAATCATTAATGTTAACACTGCCTACTGTTGTTCTGCAGGCTCCTGTTGGACCAGTGGATACGGGCCAAGTACGAGAGAAAGGAGTTCATGAGTGTGGAGAGACAGGAGCCCTACTCAGCAGGTAAGACTAAAGTAGATGTGCATATGTAAAGATGTGTCAAATTTTTATTTTAATCCCGTCTAACAGTTTTCAGTTTTTAGACAAAGCCCCCTATTGTGCTAGTTTACCATTACCTTTTCTGTTGAAATGTGTGATACTGTTGAAATCACACACCTGCTATATATAAGGAGATCTGGGTTGTTATGTGAACTCCTTTTTCAATTAATTTCATTTCAGTTTATTTTTATAGTGCCAATACACAACAAATGTCATCTTAAGGCACCTTAAAGAGACAATACTTTCAGATTGGTTGAAAGTTTCTATCAATGAAATCCAGCTGATTGCATTGAATCATTGACTTTCAACACATGCTCCTCCTGATGAGCTTGAGGCGATGATTTTCGCCCACATTTTTAAATGACTTTACAGCAATCCCTCACACCAAGCATACATGCAGTAACAGTGGAGAGGAAAACACCCTTTTAACATGAAGAAACCTCCAGCAGAACCAGGCTCAGTGTGAGCGGCCATCTGCTGAGGCTGACTGGGGTTCAAGGAAATAGAAGCAGAGATACAGAAAGAAGCAGAGATACAAAAAGCAACTGTCAATCAGCTCCAAAGGCGGCCCCATCCAGGGAAGACACAGCCAAAGAGTGCAGAATGGGGGGAACAGAGTAAGAATAAAGCAGGATGATGAAAAGTGGTCCTTATGTCCTGCAGCAGTCTAAGCCTATGCAGCATAAATATAGAAAATAACTCAGGATAACCTTACTACTTTGGATGGTATGAGGTAAGGTATGAGAAAGGTAGAGCAAAGCCAATGTAGTATTGAGGCAGGTTCAATCAAGTCCCATCTAAGCTAATTTATTCAACAAATAAAATACATAAAGGGAAGAAAATAAACCATGTTAAAAATACAAAATGTACATTATAATCTTTGTTTCAATAACTTGAAATAACCAAAAGTGATTTGTCACCCAGTTTTGTATGCTGCCGCTTTAAGAGTTTCTAGTTTCCATTTAAGGACTCCCCTAAAAACAGTGTGAGAAACAGGAAGCTTGCAAAATTCAGTCAGTTTACCCTCCCGTTAAGAAGGTCTGGCCTATGAGCATTTAATCTCTCAACCTTGCAGTAACAACACAAGCTTTGCAATTCAGCTGGTATTTGTGATTTTGCAACACACGTAACATTTCCCAACTTAGAAATATATGTTTGGGTTTTATTGCATTTAACCTTCACACTATAGTCTGAAATATTTGTATAGGATTAACACCATGCAACACATATATAATATATGTATGTAGGAACCAAAAATTTGATTTCAGTTTCAGGTAGAGGACTAGGAGCTCTTATCAGAGTCTCATGACTGCTGAACACTTTTTCTCCCTCTGTCAGTGGCTTCTTGTTTTACACTGTATAGAGGTTTTGGAGCATGTGGCTGTGTGCCTCTGCCATTGAGGAAGAATGCCCTCTTTGTGTAAGCACTGTGGGTAACATTGTTCACAGAATTTAAACCTAGTACATTCAAATAACCCACACGCACAAGGGGGTGGAAGATTATACTAGAATGATATGAATGTGAAAGTTGTGTAAAAGCACCATAGTTTGGCTGTAGGCAAACAAATGCTTAAAAAATGTATAAAATCATTATCAATAGTACGACTTATTTCTACTTCGGCTAAAGAGAAAGTAAGGCAGACGTTTATTATGCTCTGCTCGGATAACTGTCAGACCTCTATGATAAAAAGTAGTCATGATGTCACACCTAAGCTGGCTTCCTGTTCACTTTACGATGCATTGCAATGCTTTAGAAGTCATGATTTTAAAGCCGCAGTATGTTTGTCTGAAAATTTGTACCATTGTACTCCATCCAGTGTTTTAGAGTTCACTAATCAATTGCTGTTACACAACGTTTTTTGAACAACCTGTCTTTGTACTTTAGACCTGCACAGATTGTTAATGATCTTAAGAATGGTTTAAAGAAAAACTTTCTCCTTGTTTATTATTGATTCTGGTTAAGCATTTAGTCAGGTTTTATTGTGTTTCTTTTTCTAATCAATTCAAGTTATTGTTATTAAGTTATTGTATAATAGTAGTCTTATCCTGTTTGTAAAATTAATGGAGATTCATACTCAATGTAGTACTTTAGTAACCTATGTTCTTAAATTTGCTGTTAAGTGAATAACTTTAAAAAAAATAAATTGGTTAAAATAATGAAAATATATCTTATCAAAGCCATTTAGTAAGAAATCTGTTCACAAGAGTGCAGTTAGTTTTAATTTCACTGTAACATGCATTTCAAACTCAGATTTGAGCTAAAATAAGTTTGCTTTTACCTCAAATTTAAGCTATTATTTGAAAAATGTCTATTTAGGACATGTGTTACAATTTCTAAAAGAAACTTTAAACTAGGAATTAATAAAAAAAGAAACATTACAATGTATTAAGAAAAACCAAACATTTGAACTTTAGATAAAATTAATATTTATTGATGACTGCGCATTATTCAGAAGACTTTACTCAAATTTTAGTGCCCATATAGAAAACAACAAAATCTGTGTTTAGTTTTTCTCTTATTTGCTAAATGATGCTGTGGTTTTTATCACTGTCATTTATTGGTATCAAGAAAATCTCATTAACCAAGTGGATTCAGCATACCTGTAAAGTAAAATAGACCAAAATTATGAAAATATTTTTATAGAATAATATTTTTGACTGTTTGAAGTCAAAGTAAAAAGTAGTTGAATAATTAAACATTCGTAATGTAGCTCTGATAGATTTGGCATGCTCCCCATACATATTAGATACGGTATATTTGTGGTTCTGGTCTTTCATTTTCTACACTAACATTTGTATTAAAAAGATAAAAAAGATCAAATTAACCTACTTATTAGACACAAGGTTTTAACCTCCTGTCTTTTTAAAATAATTCCTTTTTCTTTGACTTCTTTTTATACCTGACATATTTTTTTTGTGAGAAATATGATAATAAGGAAATGTTTTTTATGAAATGCTGAGTTCGCTTTTTCTGTAAATCAGCCAAGAGTGTAATGTAACCCTTTTTTAGTTTAGCACCAGTGCACAGCAACAAGTGGGGGAGGGACTGCATTGCATTACTGTGTGACCTATAAACACCTTTGAGTAGAAGAGGAATGCAAATATGGCAGAGGTTAAAAATCCCTTGTGGGATTACGTTGAGGTCGAAAGAAGAAATTTCTTGTTGCTGTTTTTCTTTTGGTCAGTGGAGTACCGTTCCTGAAACAATCTATTATAACTGCAATATGTCGTTTGGCTGGTCCAAAAGTCAGGTCAACTGAAAATAGAAAAACATTGGATGGATTTGAAATCTAACTTTTTTTTAAAAGCTCTGTATACATTTGAACTGGAACATTAACTTAGTGCTTTGATCATAAACTTACTATTTCCTTTCCAACTAGCTTTGAACATCTTGACCGCTTCTCCATTTCTTTGTTGATGTAATTATGAGCGGACTGACTCTTCCGCTTCTCTGAGGAAAAAATAGCAGTTTGACTGATGAATCATTGATAAAGTCATTGCTTAAAGAGGAATTATTGCTGCATGTGGATAAAAGATGGTTACTTTTTAACTCAACAATGAAATGAGAAAATAATGAAAAGACTCAGACCAGCTTGCAAATTGAACTTTAATGTCTTCCATATTTTCAAATGGGTTTACTAGGAAAAGCTGCAATTAGATTTTATTTAGAAATGTTATTTTGCTGGAAATGTTATTGCATTTCACCTTATTTCACTCAAAAACCATCAAAATGATCTGAACTTTATAGGAAATGTTCATCTGGTATAGTCTATAGCTGGGGAAGTGGTTTGGTTCAGTTGTTTCTTATGTAGTTCACTTTCAGTTAATTCCTGTGGTATACAAAAACAGCTGTAAAACTGTAGGGTTGGGGTCATATGGTTTCATTACAGTCATTTATAACATCACATTAAAAGCTTGACAACTTTCTTTTAGAACTGATAAGCCTGTTTATAAAATTAAGGAACTTTAAATATGTAAAAGAATACATAAATTTAGTTTTTATATAAAAAAAAAATCAAGAAGTAAATATGTAGTATGTGAACTTCTGCCGCCTGCATTTATCATCACTTTTCTTGGAGTATATAAAATATTTATACTCAGTTTATGATTGTTTGAGTCAGTATGGGCTGTTCTGGTGTTTACTCAGATGACAATGCAGAGTGTTCTCTCTGATAGTGGCTAAATATGGACATTGTGGCCGGTATCAGGGAGAGGCCCAGGAACCAATTAAAGATCAGTGTGTGTGTGTGTGTGTGTGTGTGTGTCAGAGAGAGAGAGAGAATTACAAGGAAGAAGATGTTTATTATGTCCATATAAAAATGAATGATGGGCTCTCTGAGTGTTCCTGAAAATTACAAGTGTGGCTCAAACCCCTCATTGTTAGTTAAAAAAAAGTTTCCTTTTGTGTGTGAGCCTGTGTGAGTGTTTGCTTGAGAGAAATTTTGCCTGGTACTTGAAGACGTCAGTTAAAGCTGAATTATTTATATCTTTTAACAGCAGATGTTCTTCCTCCTGACGCTGATGATGTTTTAAAAGACTGACCGCATACACTTACAGGGTTCATCTATTACACACAGACACACACATGCAGGAAATCATTATTTTCGCAAGTTTTTATCTTAGCTTTTAGAGTTTTATTGTATACCTAAAAATGCTTCTTATGCATAAACAGTTAGATACAAGCACTTCACTCCTGACACCGTCCTCAGCTCACACCAACTTCGGTATCTGAATACAAAAACCAACAATACCCCTTTTTGAGTTTAATGAAAATTAGATGTGTTCTTCTATACCTCTTTCAATAAATCAACAGAACTTTTTTTTCCTTTTGCGTGATGTTTTTTAGTGCTCTAATATTAATATACTGTTTCGCCCAAACTTAGCCAGGATGGACTTTCATGAGACTGTGATTATATCTAAGTTCTAAAGCTTTAAAAAACTTGTATTTTTTCACTGACAATAGTTTCAATTACAATCAGGATGAGTTAAAATTGTTATTTATAATACATTTGTTTGTTTAACACTTCTGTTTATGTTTTTTCGGCAACTATTTGTTCAATGGATCCACTTACCGTACTAGTATTACTTCTAGTGTTTAACATTATATAAATATTTAATGACTGATTGTAAATTATTAGATAAAAACAAAAAATTTTGCTATTCCATGCATAGATACATAAAGAAGTGAGACAAAGGAAGTTAGTTTTGCCTCCAAAGATCTGCCGGATAACCAACCTATGGAGGCTCAACCTGATTCAAGAAAATCTAAATAATCTATATAAAAAAAAAAAAACTAACATTAAATTTTATGCATTTACATTTCAAATTTATATATATGTATATGTGTATTTTTACATTTCTGGTTGTTTTGATTTATCAATCATAAAAAAAGGTTTGTTCCTCTGCTGTTGCTAGGCTACAGAGAAGGGTGCTTATGGAAGCGAGGAAGAGACAATGGACAATACATGAGCCGAAAATTTATTCTGACTGAACGTGAGGGTGTCCTGAAATACTTCAACAAGCATGATGTGAGTGTTTGCTTATGTATCGCTTTGCAAAATGCTATACATGAAATTCGCAAAAGCTAAATATGCAAATTAATAGCTTCATAATGATAAAGACAGAAGAGTTTATTATTGTTCTTACTTTTTGTTGCAGGCCAGAGAGCCTAAAGCGATCATGAAGATCAACACTGTGAACGCTACTTTCCAAGCAGCTAAAATCGGCGTTCCTAATGGGCTGCAGATTACCTATTTAAAGGATAACAGCACCAGGAATATTTTTGTTTACCATGAGGATGGCAAGGTTGGCATGTTTAATTAAAAATAACATTAACAAAATGTTATGAAAAGAACTGTGAGAGAAATTGGGCTTTTTGTTCCTCTGATAGAGGAGCTTGATGATGCAGCCCATATTTTAATACAAGAGTTAGCATTTACTTTTATTTTGTCTCAAAGGAAATGGTGGACTGGTTCAATGCAATAAGGGCTGCAAGGTATCACTACCTGCAAGTGGCATTTCCTGGTGCTACAAACTCTGAGGTAAGTATAGAAATTCTGGACCAACATTCAGGGTTTTTAATAACTGGGATTAAAAAAAAAATTAATTTTTACATTTCCAGAGTAAGTATTTTGATACAAATGTTTCTCAAGTCTGTGCGTTTGAGTGAATATAGAATATTCAATCTAAACTTGATATACTTTATGTGGAAAGAAATGCTGTAGATTAAGCTTACTTTCTCCCGTAGAGTTCCCTTATTGTGTCTTAGACTTTAGCTAACATATATTTAAAATAAAATAAAAAGTTGCAAGTTTGTATAAAATAAATAGCATTTCTGATGAAAAAGAAAAAAGCTTTCAATGTTTGGAATTCAGAAAATAATTTTTTTTTTTTACTTTTCTTGTTTAATGGTCAGCAGTTCTAAACTCTTTAAAACAGTTTAAAAAAATGACCCATTACACCAATTTTCTTTAACTTTGATGCTAGATCAATTTTGAGTTTGTTAAACCTGCTTATTAAAATGGTCCCAAATAAAAATTTAAAAAGAAATTATTGCTATCAGAGTCTGTATCAAATATTTCTCTAAATCCTATTTACCACGGGACTAACAAAGAATCCAAGTGCTATTAAGTTTAACTTGTAACATGCAGAAAGATAGTTTGAATAATGATAGCTTTTGCAAAAGAAAAAGAATTAAATTGAAAATATACAGTCCAATATATAATAATGGAATGTGAGTACATTATGAAAAATGAGTTTATTAGATGATTTACACATTCAGACCAAATAGTTGGTGCCCCTCTTTGACTGAAAGAAAAGTAAACAATGCTCACAGAAATAACCTAAATCTGAAAGAAGTAGCAATCACTACAAATTCTATAAAAAAATTAACAAATAAAAGTCTCACATTGCTTTTCAACCAAGCTTAAACAGAATTATAAGAAAAATAAAAAATAAACTCTTGAAACAGGCATTGACAAAAATGATTGTACCCTTAATATTTTGTTGCACAATCTTTTGAGGCAAACGCTGCCATTAAATGATTTGTCTGTCAATGAGACTTCTGCTCCCTTCTGCAGATATTTTGGCCAACTTCTCATCAGCAAAGAGCTCAATTTGTCTCCAGTTTGAGGGTTCTCTTTTCCAGACAACATGTTTCCTTCCAAAGATGCTTAGTAGGATTTAGGTCAGGTCTCATAGAAAGCTACTTCAGAATAGTCCAATGTTTTCCTCTTAGCCATTCCTGGGTGTTTCTACCTGTTTTGGGTCATTGTTCTAATGCAAGACTCATAAGTACAGGATTGCTGACACCTGTGATGTTTGAAAAGCAATGTCTGACTTTGATTTGTTCATTTTCATAGAATCTTTATATTATAATTTTGTCAGATTTAAGTTTTTTCTGGGGCCATTGTGGGTTTTTCCTTTAAAACAAAGATGTTGTCCGTGTGTATCCTTACATTGCTGATTTATAGCAGTTAAAAGGGATATGGGCATTTTTTTAAAGCAGTGTATACAGACAATTATTTTATGAATTTATTAAATTTTTTCATAGTTGCTACCAAAGCTAACCAGGAACTACATAAAGGAGGGTTACATGGAGAAGACTGGACCAAAGGTAATCTGCTGCTTCATATTTCTTCATTCCAATGGAAAATTATTACTGACAATTATGATTTAAACTTACTTGTTTTAAAAGCAATATTAAGACC